GTGTGTGTGTGTGTGTGTGTGTGTGTGTGTGTGAGAGAGAGAGAGAGAGAGAGAGAAGGAGGGAGAGAGAGAGAGAGAGGGAGAGACAGAGAGAGAAAATTGCTTTACAATGACACATGAGAAAGTTCCAAAGAGAATATAAATCTTTCTTTTACTAGTTTTTCACGACGTGTGTGTGTGTGTGTGTGTGTGTGAGAGAGAGAGAGAGAGAGAGAGAGACAGAGAGAAGGGAGGGAGAGAGAGAGGGGGAGAGACAGAGAGAGAAAATTGTCTTACAATGACACCCAGTCACATGGGGGAACCCCACCCACCCAACTGTGCTTGGACACTTTCCACCACTCAAGATTTGCTGAGAGAAGGGTTCAGAGAGAGGGAGGACAGTCCCACAGGGACTGAGCTTGCTGCAGGCCAACACTGTTTGAAGTGCTTTATCTGTGCTATCTCATCTTATCCTCACACCAACCCTAAGAGGGAGTTAATCTAAATAGCCCCACTTTATAGATGGGGCAACTGAAGCCTAGAAAGTGTAATAGCTCAAGGTTGCAAGCCAGTGGCAGGGCTGGACTGTGACCTGGGCAGCCATTCCTGAACGCCTCTCCCCTGGGAAATTGCTGCTTTCTGTCTGGATGCCCCTTGAAGAGCTTTACAAACCCCGGAGTGTGTGTCGGGGGTCGGAGTCGAGGGTGGTGTTTGGTGCTGGCAGGCAGGTGGCACACTGAGGGATTGTGAGCAGCCAGAGGCATCCCCTCCCAGGGCCACTCCCAAGACGACCTGTCTCCCTCCCTTCCTCTCCAGAGCAGGTCAGCATTTTGCTGCTATTGTGCTACATTTTAGGGTTCCAATGCTTTAAAAATTGCTAAATTGAGGGTTTGAGGTCAGCTCCAACACGAGTCTGCAAGCAGATCCAGGATGGATGGTCTCTGGGCCTGGCTGGGCAGGTGGGGCTCCCCTGCCAGCCCTGAAGGGACCCCTAGCCACAGAGTTCCTGAGCAGAGGGAAGTGTTCTAATCACACAGCCCTTGCCTGGGCTCTCAGTGGCACAGCTGAGACAAAGCCCAAATGTTCAGCTAAGACCTTCTTTCCTTGGTGTCATGTCCAGCCTGGGGTATCTCAAATCCTGGTCGTGGGACAGGCACTAGGAATTTCCTGGGGCATCTACCCATAATGCTGATTCCCTGGCTCTATGCCAGCCCCACTGATCCAGAGTTGTTGGGATGAGGCCTGGGCATCTGCATGGTTAACCACCTGTCCCATGATTCTGACGCATGCTCAGCCCCAAGAGCACTGTGGACTCATATCACTGTGCTTGTGAGGGCTGTTTATGTCTGGGGATATCCTGTCTGCTCCGTGGGGGCCTTCCCTGCTCAGCTCCTGGCTAGCCTCCACCAGGTGGGGACCATGACACCACCTGGCCACTACTCCTGGATCAGGCCCTGCTGTCCACTGGCCTGGGTGCAGCCTCCTCATTTCCACTTTTGGGCAAAGAGGCTGAGCTTCTGGGTGATTGACAGCAGGTGTGTGTGAGCACCCAAGAATCCTGGGTCTCCACAGAGCCCAGAAACAGCAATCGTCACCCAACAAGGACCAGGTACGATCCCCCAGCCCCACCCCAGGAGCTTGTTTCCTTTAGATGCTCTGGCTGGACCTAAAATATGCACATTCTTATAAAAGAAAGAGACTTTTTCTCCTTTACAAATATATTTCACCTTGCTGGATCTTCTGATTTTTCAAGGACAGCAGGAAGTCCAGACACCTATAGGAAATTTCCTGGTATTCCAATCACTGTAATAGCTACAAAGAAAGGGTCTGTGGCTGATCTGGCCCTCAGGCTGGCAGTTTTCAGCCCTATCTTAGAGGCTGGGTGGTAGGAAGATCTTTGGTGTAATGCTACCAAATTGCTGTGTTGATAGGTCTCCTGCCTCCCACCTCCTCCCCACTGTCCTGTGACAACAGCGGTTTGATAGGGCAAGCCTGCCGCCACCTAAGCTCTGGGGCCACATGCTGCAAACCCTGGTCCTGATGCTGCCCCTGACCCCAGACTGTCCCTCCTGGCTGTGGCTTCACCTCTGGTCCCTCCCCCCAGGGCTGTTACACAGTGATCCTCAACACCTTCGAAACCTACGTCTACCTGGCTGGAGCCCTCGCCATAGGGGTGCTGGCCATCGAGGTAAGTAAAGGCCTCCACTTCTGCTGCTCCCCAGAAGGAGGCATCAAGTGGAGCCTGCATCCCCCTCCCAGCCCACCTCCCATCTCCATTTCATTGGCCCAGGACCAAATGGGTCCCCACTGAAGGGACTGTGGGGTGGTAAGCCTGGCTGTGTCTGTCTGCTGCTGGAGAGGCATCCTCGGACTCTGGAGATGACACATCTGAGCCAGTCTCCCAGCAGTGGGGATGGACAGACCCTGAGAGTCCCCTGACTTCCTCCCACTCCCCTGGCCTCCACCCCAGCTCCAAGGTCCAGGGTGCGCCTTGCACAGCTGCCTTGAGGGACAGGCTGCAGCCTGTGGTTCTAGATCAGGCTCTTTCTCTGTGGGTGTTCGGAGCCTACGGGGCCCTGTTAACCTCACAATCGTGGTCTTAGCCCCCTTTACACGAGGACCCCAGAGCCCTTCAAAAATGAGCCTCTGCAGACCATTTGCAGCCACCACTAGATGGCGCTTCAGCCAGAGGGATGAGCGGCCTCTCCCTGGTGCCCCCTCTGGGATCTCAAACTGGCTGCTCCAGGGGGCTGACGGGCAGCCACCCCCACCCACCCCAGGAAGGGGCACTCTGGAGTCTCAGCCAGTCCTAGACCTGAGGGGAAATGAAGTCAGGCTGCTGCGTCCTCAGCCTCCCCCTCCTGCCTTGAAGGGCCCCCTTCAGGGGTGCCCTGAGCACCTGGCCCCATAAACTTGCTCGGCTTCTTACAGTACCCTACTGCCTGCTGAGCGCAGTCTTGTGGAGGCTATTGGGGGTGAGGGAGAGCGAGGGGCATTTATTTACTCATTCATTCATTTATTCAACAAGCATATATTGAGCCCCTACTGTGTGCCAGCACTGCTGGAGGTGAACAAGTCCTCTCATGGGAGGCAACAGTGAACAGGAAACATAAATCTGCACTGTGACCCGGGGAAATCTCAGGAATGTGTCCTGTGCAGGAACATGGGCTTTAGAGTCCAGCTCCCAGCTCTGCCTCTCCCAGACAGACACAGGACGTCTGAGCCGCAGTTTCCTCATCTGAAAAAATGGTGCTGATCACTCTGCTCCTAGAGCATTGTGGGGATTACAGATGACGGGACAACATGCCTGGCATGTGGTAGGGGCTCAGCAGTCAGTGTCTGGGCACTTGAGCCACGGCTTCACACCCAGCCCAGCCAGCCAGCCCCGACATGAGGCAGAATCCTGTTCCAGACGGGGACTTTTACTGTGGCCCTGTCCCAGCCTTGCTTCCACCACCCCACTGAGCCACCTGGCGATTTGGCCATGAATTCGTGGTCTGGGAGCTTGGGCTACTTGCAAGAAGGGCTCTCCATGGAGAAGTCAGCAAATCTGGTCAGAGGGGGAGGCCCTAGGGACCTTAGACAGGTGTCCAGTGATTATGCTTGTAGCCCTATTAATAACAGTGCTCGTAACTCTTCCTAAGCATCTACTATCATTACATCATTAGATAACTGCCATTTACTTAAGTCTCACCACCTTTCTGTGAACTAGAAGGGGTTATGAGCATGGGCTCTGGGGTCAGAATGCCTGGACTCAAATCCTGGCTTCCCCACTTGTAGCTATGTGACCTTAGGCAGGTTATGTGACCTCTCTGTGCCTTGCTTCCTGGTCCATGGAAAGGTTTCCAAGAAAGTAGTTAGAACCGTGCCTGGTACATGGTAAGCTCTTGATAGATACTCAAGCCTTAGCTATGTGACCTTAGGCAGGTTATGTGACCTCTCTGTGCCTTGCTTCCTGGTCCATGGAAGGGTTTCCAAGAAAGTAGTTAGAACCGTGCCTGGTACATGGTAAGCTCTTGATAGATACTCAAGCCCAGAGAAGGGAAGTGCTTTGCCCAAGGTCACTGCTGACACATCAGGGAGCTGAATCTGAACCCATAACTCAGTTTCAAAAGTCTCCCTTCTTTCCACGACTGTACCACATGGAGCAGGCCAGATGGCTGGTGCGAGGGGCTTGCCCCCAGAGGAATGTCAGGAATCCCTACAGAAGGAGTGTGGTGAGAGGGACGGGGAGCCCCGGTCCTGCCCAGAGGCGATGGCCCTTCCTTCCCTCTGGAGCAGGGTGGGTGGGCGGCCGTGGAGGGCTGTGGGCCCAGCCTGACAAGCCAACTCTTGTTTTTGTTGCAGCTTTTCGCCATGATCTTCGCCATGTGCCTCTTCCGGGGCATCCAGTAGAGGGTGGGGCCTGCAGCCTGAAGACACCCTGCCCACCACTGCCCAGCACACAATGCCCTCCCCTGCCCTCCCCCATCCTCTTGGCCCCCGGGGAGGAGGCAGGCCATCATGGATGGCCAAGAGAAGGGCCAGGGGAATAGAGCTATTTTTTTAACAAAACAAAATGAAGACAATATGGACTGATGTACCCTCACCTGGACTCCAGGCAAGTGCCATGGGCTCTCCACAGGAACCCTAACACCTAGTCCAGGATGCGGTCGCTCTAGAGACCGAAGGAACACCAGTACCAGGTCCCTTTCTTGGCCCAGCCAGACTCTGCCATCCCAGACCTGGGCCTTCTCTCTTCACAGCGTCAGGACCTGGTGCCACGAAAGTGAGGATTTATAAAATAGGAGGCAAAAGCAAATCTCGGAGGAGTCGCCAAAGTCCAGGGGGCCCCAAAGAGACTCAGTCCCCATGTCCTTGAGTATTTAGACGCTACAGCGCAATCCCTTGTGCACCGGAGGATGGAGTTGTCCCTGCTTCAGGCTGGGGCCAATAATGGGCTGTGGTCGCTGGATCCAAGAATGGCGCAGCTGGCAGGGTCCTTGCTTTCCCATCTGTTGGGACCAAATAATCTCAAAGGCCCGGAGAGGGGCAGTGACCTGTTCACAGTCACACAGCACAGGCATGACAGTTGTGAACAGGAACCTGGGTCATCTCTAGGCTGCTGTCACTCCATCCAGGACTGTCAGATCTGCTGCTCACGTGCCCCTCTGGCCTCAGCTAAGAAAATTCTGTACTATGCCCTCCCTGCCCTCCCACCTTCCCACATTTCTCTCTAAGCCCCCACAAACACACACGTACACACATCGCATTCCCTTGACTACACTACCCACCTCCCCCCACAAGCCACCCCTTTCTGGTCTTTCTCCAACTCCCTGGCTCCCAGGGTAGAAGAAACATCCAAGATCATCTGGTCTCCCTCTCGCCACCCAGAACTGAGGCTTGGATGTCTTCTGCATGATCCCTGCCAAGACTTCTCCACCTCTTCTTGCATACCTCTGCGGACAGGAAGCTTACTACCTCCCAAGGCAGCCTCTGCCTTCGGACTGCTCTGGCTTTAGAAAATCAGCTCAATACACAGAAGAGGTCTCTGTTTTTCTCTGGTTCCGTCCATGGCATCCCACCTGCTCACTCTTTCCTGGAGTGTTATGGTCACACTCCCCTGAGCCCTCTTACCTCCAGGCTAAAAAACCCCCAGGCCATCTCAGCTATTTCTGCTGTGACACGGTTCCCTGTCCTTTTGCAGTCCATGTCACATTTCTGAGTGTTCCCTCCAGGCTCAGGCAGGGAGAGGCTTCCCCACAGACTCACAGATTCATACCCACATGACACCCACAAATACACAGGCCTCACATTCTAGACCAGTGTTGGCAACTGGATTGCAAGATGCCTCGACCCTGATCAAGTTCTGCCAGCGACCTGAGTTTTGGTCTGGACAGAGTGGGAGAGAGCAGCGTAATCCTGGTTAGTCATGTCTGCCACGGGCACAGGGATGGTAGAAGCTGCCTGTTCTCTCTCCACTGTCCCTCTTCAGGTCCTAGGAAGAGGCTGTTCTGTCTCACAAGCCACTGGCACCCTGTACCAGCTCCCAGCCTCTCCTGGTGCTTTCCAGACACCTGGGGGAGAGAGAGCTACAGCCTAGAGCCCAGGGCTGCCTGCCCTTGCCACCTGCCCCCCTCTGAGATGCAGCCAGCTCTGTGCCTGCTGTAAAGATTGTTTGACCTTCTCCCATCTCCTTCTGCTGTCCCCACCAACCCTGGCCCCTCCCTCCAGGTATGTGAGCTTGGGCTTCCCAAGTTGTCCTACCAGCCTGTCCAGGAGACTACAAATAATGCCAGGAGCTCCCTAGAGGCTGAGCTCCCAGGATCCAGGGGCACTTGCAACTTGGTTCCCCAGCCCAGCCTCAGAAGACCTGGGGCCTGCCCTCTTAGGACCCACTCATTCTTAGCTCCAGCTTCCTGGAAGAGGCAAATGGCCAGTCTGAGGTTGACAAAAATCCCAAATGCAGGCTGGGTAGGACTAAGTCAAATCACACAGCTGTGGCTCCAGTCCAGGAACATCCCAGGCTTCTGGGGCCCATAAACAAAGTTAGAGGGAGGACCTAGGAGAAAGGGCAGGGCACGGAGGAGCAGCTGGCTGAGGTGGGTTCAAGGATGGATCTCACAACTTCATTCCCAGGGGCTTTCCATAAAGGTGTCAAGGCGCCCTAAATCAGCCAGGAGAAAGGGCAGGGCACGGAGGAGCAGCTGGCTGAGGTGGGTTCAAGGGTGGATCTCACAACTTCATTCCCAGGGGCTTTCCATAAAGGTGTCAAGGCGCCCTAAATCAGCCCCAATTCACTCCCCAGCCATTGACCCCCCTCTCAGGCTGGAAGGGGAAAGCTGGCAGTCTGTTCCCAGCGTGGGCTGGTAGCTATTTGCAAGGCTGCCTGAGGCCACTCCTAGGGGGCATTCAAAAGAAAGTTCAGCCCAAATCAGACTTGAGCCTCCCTCCAGATCTGCAGGCACCAGGATTCACCCAGATACAACCCACATTAGGTTCTGGTGGTGCTGTTTGGTGGAGGGAGAGGGATGAGTAGGGATGCTTCTTTTTTTCTTTTTGCTCTAGCATACAACAACCCACACCCCACTACCAGGGCAAGGAACAAGGACGACTTTACACTGTTAGTCACACAGCCTGTCCTGTACTGAAAGCCACTTTCCTGCTCCGAAGCTTCTGCCTCTTGGAGAAGGGAATATATCTTACGGGCTGGGAGTCAGGGGCTCAGGCCCTTGCCCAGGCTCCGGCCCCCTGTTAATGTCCAGCCTTGTTGCTTGGGCCTCTCCTTAGCCTTTCCTGTCCCTCTGTCCATGCCCAAGGGGCCCAGACAGGACTCCCCAAACCAGCAGAGGCCCCAGCATCCCCGTCTCCCCAGAGGCCCCCTGTTCCTGTCCCCCGTGAGTCATATGTTGAAAGTCTATTTTAAAAACTGTACATGTTCCTTGCGGTAGATAGCAGAGCTAATTTATCATGTTTATTTCCTGTGAGCCCCCCCCCTTTTATATTATATATCGAGAAGTTTTTGTAATATAAAACAGGACACCCACACTGATGGTTTTTGCACTGGTTTTTGTGACTGTTTCTTACAAAAAGAAAAAAGAACGAAGAATAAATAGTGACCGTGAAGAAAGGTGGTCTTGATTTGGGGGAGTGGGGGCTGGGCCGGGACAGAAGCTTGACAAGAAGGGCGGGGCTCCAGTTGCAGGTGAGCTGAGGGAAGATGCATTCAAGGTCATCTCCATTTTAGGATGGACAGCTGAGCCCACCTGGCCTTCTCCACTGGATTTGAGGGTCCCTATCCCTTCTGTCACTGCCTCCTCACCTTAACGTCCCCCACTCCCAAGCCATATGTCTGTCTTCCAGGTCTTACATGACCTCCCATCCCCACCCCCAGGCTTCACTACAATGTCTGACTAAACCACACACTATTTCATAAGCACTGCTCTGTGCCAGAGCATGGGCAGCCATGTCCCCATGTGTCCTTGCTCCCATCCCGCAGGGCAAGGCTATGCCACCCTCCCTGCCCCACAGCTAGATGTGCAAGATGGGCGGTCTCAGTCCCAGCAGATGCTCCAAAGCTTGT